TTTTACTATCACCAACGCTTATAATACACGTCAATCTTAATTTTATCTCCTTGAGACTCCTTGAGAATGATTACCTAAAAAACTTGCGGCTTCCATAATAGTGTAAGGTGAGACATTTTAGGTGAAAAAATCTCACCAGCGTGTTCCTCATTACATTAGCAATTAATATCAACTTTATTGTTTTGGCAAAAAACAGCTTGCTGTAGAAAGTATTTTCTGTAATTTTTCGATTTCTTCGCAGCCTGTTACTTTATGAGCATTTACATAAACTTTACGTGCTTAAACTAACTGTATGTACATCATCGCAACTTTATGTGCGTGTGCAATGTAATTTTGACGACCGGCTGGCGGGCCAAGGGGTTCTGATGACTTAAAATCAAGTCCGGTTGTAGGGTCGCACGCGGTACAGAGCTGCACCCCAATTTCGTCGATTCACAAGCTCGCGTTTTTCCTCTTGTTTAAAAAGGTAGATATGCTGGCAATAATTAAAACCTATCCTCAGGGCTTCATCTGACTTCAAGCACAATCTTCTGATTGATTATTAGTGATTCCGAGCGCGTCAAGTTCTAAGGTCATTAGTTCCGTAAATGTAGGGCATGTTTTTGCTCGAAAGTTAGCGATAGTCTTCCCCCACTGTATGGTGAGATCCGACGCCGACATACCGTCGGCTACCTTTTCCCCAACAAGGTATCTCCCACCAGCAGGGTACTGCCCCAGTCGGGCCAAGCTCTGAGCTCCCGGCCGGTCTCCCGCAATGTGTGGTAGTATACTGCATGTAAGTGTTAGGTGTGTGTAAGGGGTGAGGGTAGGCAAGGAGGAGGTAAGAAAGATTTCGCACGGTATGTTCCCTGTTTGTTAGAGTACCTGCTCCGACAATCGTCTGGTGTTGATCGGAGAAACCCCGCAAAACTACCGATCAGAGTAGTCTTCTCCTCCAGTCTCCCAGAATTCTCATCCAGACAGCAACTGAATTTGACCTAGCTAACAAGCTAGTGTCGAAAATCATGCCACCGTCTTGACTCAAACGTAGGACGTGGCCAGAGCGACTGCAGTGACAGTCATCTGATGCCCTGAGCCACCTCTCCCGGTCACACTCTTCTGAAGGTTAAACAAGGATATATATTGTCAAGGATATTTTGCTGTGCACAAACGAAGCATTCCTCAGCGAAATGCCAAAAGAAGCCATTTCTCATCTATTTAGAGAGAATACAGAGGTGTATTTTTTTACCTCCTGAAATTATTCTTGTTTATACTATATTACTTCTCTTAACGAGACTTGCGCTGAGAAAGCCATTGAAATCGTTTCCTCTTATTTATCATACTTCTCTCTTGTTTCTCTATTGTACCAATCAATATAAGAATAAAAAAAATTGGCATTGCAGTTTCCGTCTCACAAAAGCAGATTTTAAGAAACCCAGTGGATTCATATATTTAGTTCGGGTTGTACGTCTATGACCTGTTCCATGAGGAATGCAGCACACATACTATAATATTATTGTATTTGAATTAAGTCTGGTGAACAGGGGGAAAGTTAAAATAAAAATTAAAAAACACTAAATTTCTACCAATACTTTTTCATGTACTAGAAACTTTCTATGCCGAAGGATGGACACGCCCGACAACTGTATCATGTTTAGAAATTATTTTTATTGTGAACTTGCATAGCCCAAATAACTAGTGGCACAATCTTTCTCACACTAATTAGTTACTCTTTCGTCATGACCGACTCTACTCTCTGTACTTTTCATGTTAGAGTCGGCCTTGCTTTTGTAATAAGAAGTGGCGAGTAGGAATTTTTAATGATAATCTCGATATCAAATGTAGAAAAATTTGGCGGTGTTTTATCATAATCATATATTTTTGCACAACGTTTTTTTGGCTATCTTCAATATTAAAAACCGATAATTTATTAAAAATGAAAACTAACTCTCTCAACACAGAAAAAAGAAACTTAACCTCCCTCCTTTCCTTTTACACAACAAAGACAGATACCCAATATGCCATCTCCTTCTTTGCATCACTTTCTGTGAAAATTGCACAAAGACACAGACAATTTGACATATATATTACATACTATAATGCCTGTATTTACTTGCACCATCTTAATTGCCTTTTAGATGGTGATACAGTTTCGTTCATTATACCTGTGGAAGGCAAACATAATGAATTCCTCATCGGACACGGACACCACGTATGTCTTATGACATGGAATGGCGAGAGCGACAAACCGCAAAAAATTGAGAAACTCGTCGCTGTTGATGAGGAAGACTACAATGCAACAAATTCACTGAATGACGGAAAAGCAGATGCGTCCGGTCGCCTGTGGGCTGGTGAGTGGTGCTGCTAGATTATCTATTGGTTAGAAGTGGTTAACAAGCAACAACATTCCAAATTTTTTTTTATTTTGGGTTTCATCAAGACGTTTTTTTCTTGTCCACTTTTCACATTTTATCAAAACTCCATCTGTCCTGTTGCGTGTTAACAGCACTACTCTCCAAAACATCATAGTCTTTCATTTGATAAAAGCAATGTGAGCTTGCAAGTATGGTGAGTTTGTAAGACGCAAGAAGAAGGTTTTTATGCCCTGACTGTCTTACCGAAGGAAAGCATCTATCTGTGCCACCATCTCGTTCGAGGAATTTTTCCAATTTTCTAGTAGAACATTCTCGTGCGAGAGGCCTTAAATTTACGTATGTGTGTAATGTTATATTGTGTATGTGTGTATATTTATGCATATATAAATGACAATTTAATGGAACCAAAATAAACATCAACATTCAGATTATGACAGAACAAAACACTTTCCCAATAAACTGAAATATGGAAACCGTCAATATTCCCAGAATTTCTTAATACTTTCTGCTCTGAGTATCACGTTCAAAAGCTCTTTCCAATAAAATAAACATCTTTTACTATTGGGACCCTCCTTCCCTCTGTAAATTTCATTGACACAATAAATTATATTCTAATTTTTCTCAACCTTACGTTGTACCCAAATGATTATATAAAAATCGATCCATACCATTCTTAATTTTTGACTTGCATCCTAATATTTACACAATCCAAACAACAAAAACTTTTTCAACAAAGGAACTACTTACAATATTGTTCTACTCACAGAATGGAGAAGGTAATTGACAGTATTATTACCTACACAATACTGCTGATTCTTAGTAAACTTCTATTGACGGAGTGACGATACATTTAATACTTCACGAGTTCCTTGAGAGCTGGAATTCCTGACGGCTGTTTCGGTGACCTTGGTCAGCCCAGACCAAACAGCCCTGCACGTGTTCGTCAGACTTCGATGTTCTTAGAACCACCGAAACAAATACCCACAGGTTTTGATGCAAATAGTTAAATTTTAGTGCAGCTACATTTTTACGCTTTTTGGTAATATACTCAAAATGCACATGGTACATTTACATTAGCACAAATGCTAAATGCAAAAATACAGATCATTACAAATTAGTTCTGAAAATTCTATCGCAACATCTTTTACAACTACATTTGATTCTTCCCCGGATTTCCTTAACACTTCCATATTTTTCTCCCCTAATTTATGAAGAGATTAAAACTTCACAAACACAATCTAATTTGTGTTCACTTTTACTTCTACAATTGCTCTTATAATCGTTTTGTACGCAAGTCTAGCATTGTATGCGAAAGGTGACTGTTTTGTACGTTTATGTGAATAAGGTGTTAATTAATTTGAATAACAATAAGTTGTGGGTCACGTTCATTTGAAAACGGTATTTGCACACTTATATAAGAACGTAAAAGTGCGAAGTCGAACATTACGTTCAATTATTCTCTAGCATTACTCATAGTTTTGTTTTCTTCATATTCACTTGAAATTCAAGTTTAATTTATTTTTAGAAATACGATAATAATTCGACTCTAAATTGAAATCAAACTGCAGTGCGATTTGCTTAGTAATTCAGTTGTTCACTTATAGATGTCAACAGCAGAGTTACCAATGTCGTGAAAGATAATTATGGCGTATTATGCAAAAACTGCTTTTGGGTTCTGCAATTTAATGAACGTCACCTTCATACATCGATTTAGGAGGCGTTGTTTTAATTTCTGGCATTATCACTGAGATCGCAAGCCCATAAGACGAATAAACACGTTTTTGGAAATTTATTTGATTCTTTTAGCCTGATCCGAAAGCAAATGATGAATTCCCCATCGGGAGCCCGAGAAGCGCCGAATGACATCTCGTACGTCTCGATTGGCGCACGGGAAGTGGTCTAGACGCGAGTGACGGAATGGCAAAACACACATCTGCACGTTTCTCCACCCGCACACTCAAGAGCTTTACTGAAATAGTACTGTAAAGTGATCTGTTCCTAAACAATGTTGGTTCACAAATACGTTCTACTGAGACTTCTTCAAATTTCTATCAGATACAGAACTTAAAATATTGATTCCCTCTAAAGGATGCTCATTACAAATTTTAGATTACTACTCATTACAAAATGCCGTTAATGATTACAATAAAATTATGGAATTAAGACTATTTTGATGTTCTTTTTTTTTTTCTTTCAGGCACACTAGGTGATTTAGATTCATTCAGTAAAGGTCCTAAGGGATCTCTTTACAGTTTTCCAAAAATTAGAAATGCCAGTAAACACGTGGGAGAAATAACGTGTAGCAATGGTTTAGCATGGTCACGAGACAATAAAGTATTTTATTACATAGACACTTGGACTCATAAAGTAGATGCTTTTGACTTTGATATAAAAAATGGAGTGATTTGTAAGTAATAAATCCATTCATTATTTTTTCTGATAATAGTTTAATATTTTTCTGTAAATAAATCGCAATGTTAATAATGATTAATTAATGGATACTTGTAATTTATTTCAGCAAACAGACGAACAGTATTTGATTTTTCGGCAAATGGAATTAAAGGTCTGCCAGATGGCATGACTATAGACACTAATGATAAACTTTGGGTAGCATGTTTTTCTGGGAGTCAGGTTCGAACTTTCAATGGTTTATTTTATTTTAAATAATAAATTTAAATTATTTTATGATGCATTTCACTGTAAATATTTTTATAGTTTTCTTTCTCGTTTTAGGTTATTCAAATTGACCCGGAAAATGGAAAAGTGCTTCGGTCAATTCCGATTCCAAGTCCACAAGTAACATCTGTGGCTTTTGGAGGACCAAATTTAGACGAACTGTATGTGACATCTGGAGCAATGAATATGACGCCTGAGGAGAAAGCAAAATATCCTTTTGCTGGTTGCACCTACCTCATTAAAGGCATTGATGCAAAAGGCCTTCCTATGAATTCTGTTAAGCTTTAATTTCATGGGGGTCATTATATATTACTATAAGTAACATTGTATGTAACATTACATAATATTCATTACATGTATGTAACATCAGATTAAGTGTAATATACTTAAAGAATATATTATTATTATTATTATTATTATTATTATTATTATTATTATTATTATTATTATTATTATTTTTGTTGTTGTTGTTCCTCTGATTCACAACTAACGATGTTATGAGTCGGTTAAAAATAAAATCTATTCCGGGTTGCTATTAGCTTTCTAAGGAGGAGATGTAGGGGCTAGCGGTGCCCCTACAATACTTTGCGCTGTGTTGGCTGTTCCCAATGAAGCAATGTCTAGCACTTTCCAGTCTTTTGACTGACCTGGCAGTTTAGCCAAGATCTCACCATAATTTTGCGTAAAAAAGTCCCAGAGCTCCGGTAACTATTGGAATGACCTGTTCTTTTACGCCCCACGTTAGGCTGATCTCGATTTTCAAACTCTTGTTTTTAAGTCATTTCTCTACCTCCTTGATGACGACGTTTTGATCGCAAGGTATAGGTACATCTACTAGTGGACAAGTTTTTCTCTATATCAATATCCAGTTTGCTTGCCGCTATTGTGCGATCAGTTTGAATTTGTTGGTCGTACAATATTGTACACAGTTCAGCAGACGTCACCGCCTTTGGTGAGTGTTCGTACCACTTGGCGCACGTGTTTAGGACTTCGAGGACCGTTCAGATCTGCTAGGGGCGATAACTACACGCCCTGTCGTGTCTTTCGAGTATTCGGTCTCGGTCTTTATTGGATACGCTGAAACGTGTGTGTGTGCGTTTGTGTTGCCGCGAATTGGCCTTTTAGGGCCACGTGAACATACAACTGCACTTACCGAGGCTGATTAACATTTATCTCGTGGTAACTGTATGTGACTCCATTTTGGGGAGATCAGCATTATGCTGAATCCAATTTTAAGTACCCAGGAGGTATGGAAGATGGAATGATGATGATAAGAAGGATGAATGGACGTATCCATGACACTTACAGACACACACACACACACACACACACGCGACATGCAGACACACACAAATACACAGTGACTCGAGGCGGGGCTCGAACCCGCGATCCTTCCGTCCGAGATCGACACAGAAGAACTGCCGCGATCTCGGCTATCCAGGTCGGCGATTATTATTATTATTATTATTATTATTATTATTATTATTATTATTATTACATAGCAGAAGAAAATTACAAATTTTTAGGCCTGAAGGGGGCCGAAAATGTAGCATTTCCGAATGAGCATTTGTTGGGAAATTTCTGCCACGGATCTACGCACGTGACATTTGCCCTGATTGTTAGGCAACTCCTTTTGCTTGTGTATTTCGCGGGTCGGATTCTCTCGCAGAGAGAAATTTCGCGTACCTGCCGAACACCAATATCTGATGAATTGTCCAACAATAAGGGAAAATTCCGTGATGTCTCGCCCTATTTATCCGCATTCTACTTCAATCGAATATCAAAAATTTTTAATATGGACTAAATTGTTGTTACAAACACAAACTTATTTATTATGTATGTTAAAAACATTTGTTTTATGTTATAATTAGATGGATACAGGAAATGTCAATTACTGACATAGTTTATCATAAAGAATACATTAATATCAAAATGTATATTTATTAAGGAAAAATAACTTTACCATAATAAGCAAAACTTCAAATAAATTAAAATAATCTCATTTCAATTAATTACAAAAATCATTAACTTTACTACTAGAGAGTAAAATGTAGTCATACACAAGGGAGAAGTTTAATTCCCAAGGTGAGGTTAGAAGGTTAGGGGGTAGTACTGAGAGCACTTTTGCGAATAAAATCTTAGTTAACTCTTTTGTTGCAATTATTACAAATACTTCAACTCTCATATTCTATCATATATAGCACGTTTTTATTGTGTAATGAGATTACTGTCATTGACACATTAATATTTTTTGTGAAATAAGATAATAAAATCGATTGTCACAGATC